CCCCAAAACCCCAAAACCCCAAAACCCCGTGAGTCTAAAATAAGTTATTTTTTGCATTATAAATCCAAAATATCAAAGTCAATATATAATGATATAGTTTATACTTGCTTTATCTTCTAATCTTCACTATAATATATTTTATACCATTCAATTTTAAATGAAATCATCGTCTACTCTCTCTCATTGACTATGATTCAGAGATCTAAATACAGCATCTATCTATCTTTCAAGATACTTCAAATTATCCTAAGAGGAGTAATCTAGTTATGCATTTATCGATCTTAACTTTAAGGGCCAGACGTTGCCCATAAGATAACTAAAATAGTTGTTGAATTATATCTGTGATTGATGGAATGACTGGCAAATCTATTTAGATTGCTCTGATTGCTATGAGTATAAATCGCTTAACTTCGACTTTACTTTACTCACATTTATAATCAAAGATTGAGTGGGTGAAGATCTTAGCATATGATTGAAGTGATAAATAAGAGCAGTGAATGTTTGACAATCCATTTTATGCAATTTTCTTAATAACTCAGATTACATTATTAACTCTCCTTTGGACCCAATATCTTGCCTATTCCCATTCATCTTTTTTAATCTCTGCTAAATATTAGTTGGCTCATTGCTAGCATTAATGAATAGGTCAATGCAGTAATTGCTCATTCCATGCAAAGGCTGCATGAGCTTTAAATCATCCAGTTCTTCTTTTTCAGGTTTAAGTGTAATTAACTTCAAATTCATGTGTCTTTAAACTTTGGTCTAAAGAAATATCTCAGTCTACTTTAATATATCATCATCGTAATCAATAAGTATTAAACCATAACTTCTATCAGCAAGGTATTTTGCAAAAGCTTTGCCTATTATAGTCCCAGCCCCATATATAACAGCATATCTCTAAATCTTGGTTTACTTGTAGTGAGGATTATTGAGAAACTCAGATTATTTAGTGAAGTAGACAAACGGTCTAGTCAGTGCAAAATAGAGAAATAACTTTCAACTAAATAGATACGATTTATATGATATGTAGCACATTGTAGCAGCTCCTAAACTCATTAGAGAATAAACAATGAAAGGATGGATATTTTGTGATATCCTTGGATCGAATTCAGGAAGATTGTTTAAGCAGGATTTTAGATTGCTCAGCATTTTGATTTTAATATATTGTTCAATTTATGTAGATATAAAATGCAAGAATTGATTATGCTAGTGTTCGGGGTTTTGGGGTTTTGGGGTTTTGGGG